ACCACAGCCTGCAAGTCACTCTCATAAATCCCCTTTTTATAGAGAGGTTCATTCTGTAAGTTAAGGGTACTCTAGAGAACCCTGACTAATACACTGTCTCAAATTTTAAAAAAACAAAAATAAGCAGTAAAAGTAATCTTATAATCTCTGAAGTTTCACTTCTTATCCAAATGGGGGTGAGGGGAAGATCCAGATTTCAACTACAGAATAAGCCTGGGATAATGGCAGTCTGGGTACTGGATAGTTGCTATCATTTTTGTAATAGATTTGGAAGTCTGCACTCAGATAAAATTTATCCTTCTCAGATCTCTGATGGCATTGATGACTGGACTAGCTATAGCTTTGTCAGCTTAGTAACATCAGGCAACCAGAGTCTTCCACAAGGTCATAGCCACCTTATTAATTGATCAATGCATTAATTAATTAAAGCTACTCAGTCTCTTTAAAAAAGAGAGAGAAAGAGATAAACAGGTTCTGAATATAGATTTACAGATGCTTTTCATCGGGCCAAGGACAATTCAGTCCAATCCATTCCTGGCTCTCTAGATAGAAAAGACAGTATGTACTTCAAGGCAAACTGATAATACTACAATTATTGAGACTATGGGTCTGAAAGTTCCAAATAAGTTCATAAATTTTAACTCCTGTTCCTAGTTTATATCTGTCACACAGGTTTCCACTTGGCTGACAGACACATGCAAGCATCATTTGCTGACGAGCCCTGAACTTGCTGAAACCTGATGGACCAATTTAGCTGATATACATGCCATGTCTTCAGCTGGTCAATAAAACGTTTGCTCCTTGCCTTTGACTAACATTCTGGCTTTCCAGGGCCCTGACAACAACGTCCCAATATCAGCAGGAAGTAATTGCAGAAGAGAAAACATCGCCCTTGTTCTCCCCACCCCAGAATGTTAGATCAAACGGGAATTTATGTCATAGGGGACCTGAGATAAAGTAATAACTGGTCCCCATTCTCATTTCCAAGTTCCCTCAGGATAAGGAACTCTGTCAACCATCGCAGGGCTTTTGGCCCTTGTGCTTCTGCTAATTACTGTTGGCTCTTATGTCACTGATGTCTTAACTAAATGAAGATTCCTGTCTGGGTACTACTAAACTGATGATGCTAGAATCCCAATATCAGCCCCTGAACCAAAGCCATGACACACTTGCAGATGGCAAAAACTGAATAAAGGGAGGCTCACTTTGCCACTGATAATGGGAAAACTCTTATGTCCTGGTCCAATTAGTCTCCAAAATAATCTACTACCCTGGTGATAAAGTCTTTTACCAAAAAGAAACATCTCCAAGATTGGAGATGATATACTACTCAAGGGGGGGAATGAAAGGACCAAGCAGACACCATAACAGGCTGTCAGTCTTCTCTCAGAGATCAGACCTCAATTTCAGGTTCCTGAGACTTAAGTAAGCAGTTTCTGGGAGGACCATGAACAAAAGACATAGTCCTTGCAGTAGCTCCCTTTCTGCATGTACTATGACTGCTCAGGGTTCAGCCAGTTGTTGGTCTGGGACCCCTCACCAACTTAGAGCTATGTGCATGAGTCAATGTGAACATGTGAGGCCAGCCAGCCCCCATGGCAGCTCAAGGACAAAGCCTGGGACTTATCCAGACATGCCCCAAAATGATAACTGTAACCCCCAACTAGTAAATTTAAAGGTTACATACCTTCACCCAATCATATGATGCCAAGGCTTATACCACATTGCTTGTGGTTTTTCCCTTTAAAAACTCCTCACCCTGGGAACTCAGGGCCGTCTTCCTCCATCCACTGTGTTGAGTGTTGGACACGGACCACGCCCGAGCTTGCTTGTTATCAATAAACCTGTTTTATTGTTTCGCATCAGATATCAGCTCTGTGGTGGTCCTGCTTGGGGATGGGCACAACACCATAATAAAACCCTGAGATGGCTATGTTGGTACCTGCTTGTAATCCTAGCACTTGGGAAATTAAGCCATGAGGCTCAGTTCAGTATCACCCTTGACTACAGATAGAGCTTAAGAGCAGCATGTGTTACATGGGAAACTACTCCAGCTCTGCTCCCTTCCTGGACAGATTCAAATATCTGTTATTTGACACCTAATAGGCATCTAGTTTCCCTAAACCCAGCACAGTGATGGTAATAGTATTCAATGACTGCTTGCCAAATAAGCAAATGGATGGAATCACAGATGGATCTTACAGCCCTACTTGGCTTCACAGTCTACCCCACTGTCTAAAAAACTGATTCTCAATGCCATCTCACTCCTTAGCCAAATGTGTCATACCAAATCTTGAGTGACAGGAAGCTAGGCTGGCCTGGATTTGTATAGTTCAGCTTGGCTTTGAACTTGTGATCTTTCTATCTCTGACTTCCAAGTGCTGGGTTTATAAGATTTAAGCCACCACATCTGGCTTGGGTGACAAATATGATGTATGGTTCACAAATAGCAGTGGTGAGTAATCCAATGATAGGTTCTTTGAAACAACTAGTTCTTTCTTCCTCAAAGTCGTAGGCCACTTCAGCCTGCAGCAGGAGGTGGGTGCAATATGAAAGTATAAGGTACAGGTTTGCTAACAGTGGAGGTCAAGTTCTTTTTATTTTCTGAAACTGGGTCTCATTATGTAGTTCTGGATGTCCTGGAACTCACTATGTAGACCAGGCTGGTCTTGAACTTACAGAGATCTGCCTGACTCTGCCTCCTGAGTGCTGGGACTAAAGGCATGCACCATTATACCTGGTCAAGTTCAAGCTTTTAACACACATTAAAAGGTAGGGTTCAGGAGCTCGGCCTGGTAACCCAGGCATGTAATCCCAGCACTCAAGAGGCCGAGGCAGGAGGCTTACAAGTTCTAGGCTAGTCTGAACTAGATAGTTCAACTCTGTTTTTGTTTGTTTTTTCTATTTTTTTTTTTTTTTTTTTTTTTGGTTTTTCGAGACAGGGTTTCTCTGTGTAGCTTTGCGCCTTTCCTGGAACTCACTTGGTAGTCCAGGCTGGCCTCGAACTCACAGAGATCCGCCTGGCTCTGCCTCCCGAGTGCTGGGATTAAAGGCGTGCGCCACCACCGCCCGGCTGTTTGTTTTTTCTAAAGGCAGAGTCAGGGAAAGAATGGGACTCTACTTTTTTAAAAATGCCGATGCCTCTTCTGTAGGAGGTGATGGCTTCACATTTCTCGGGAATACTGCATCTATCCTCTTTCCTCCCAATTAGCACTCGTGCCTTTGCTTTCCTGGGTTGGGATCCTAAGAATAAAGCCCTGTGGTAGCAGCTAAGATTATGTGTGAATCTGCAGGGCAAACTCCTGATTCAAGACCAAATCTCACCAGGGGATTCTCTTTCTTTTTTAAAGATTTACTTTTATTTTCTGTGTATGGGTGTTTGCCTATATGTATATATGTGCACCATATATGTGCATATATATGCATATATGTGACCACCCCATGGAGGTCAAAAGATGGCATCAGATTCCCCAGAACTGGAGTTTCACATGGTTATGAGCCACCAGGCAGGTACTGGAATTGAACCCGGGTCCTCTGGAAGAGCAGCAATCGCTCTTAACTGCTAAGCCATCTCGTCAGCCCCACCAGGCGATTTCTGATACCCTCAGAATCAACAGTTCCTTAAAAAGGATGCTCTTGGCATACAAAGCCTGCAGGGCTGTATTCTAGGTCCACACACATAAACTAAAAGCGTGCGCTGGAGGGACTGCTCAGTTGGTGAAGTTTTCACGATGGGAAAGCATGAGAACCCCAGTTCAGTCCCAGCACCCACTCGAGAGCCATGTGTGGTGCACATGCTTGTAACCCTAGTACTGGGAGGCAGCTCCTAGCTGTCCCGCCAGGAGCTTAGCATAAGCAGAGAGTCCCAGATCCCAGTGAGAGACTCTCATAAAAACAACGGGGACAGTACCTTAGGAATGACACTGGAGGTTAGCCATTGGCCTCCACAAGTACCTGCACACACATCACCATACACTTACACACACACACACACACACACACACACACACACACACACACACACACACATAAAATGAAAGCTGTAAGAGGCTGAGCATGTAACTCAGTAGTGTGATAGCCTGGCATGAAAGAAGCTTGGAATTCAATCCCCAACACTGCATAAACTGAGCAGGGTGGTACACACTGGTAATTCCAACACTCAGGAGCTGATGGTAGGAAGATCAGAAGGTCAAGGTCATCCTTAAAAACATCGAAAGTTCAGGGCCAGCCTGAGCTATATGGGACCCTGCCTCCAAAAACCATGTGTGCACATGTGTAAAATATGGACAGGGAGCAAACAAGTACACAGAGTGATTCACAAGTGCTTCCATGGCACACAGCACTGTCTCACTAACCAGACGGCTGGGGGTCCAGGGTCAAGGTCCAAACATAAAGCTCCATGTGTCCTAGTGTGCGCCCCACACAGCCAACTTAACACAGGACTGTATGCAAACTCAAAAGCAGGCACACAGCTAAGCTGGCACCTTTCCTGGTAGTCACTGTCCCTCTTACCAACTGAAGAGACACTGGGACATCAGCTCCAGGCCACACTCTCTCAAACTGTGTTCTGGATACTTTGGGAAACCAGAAAAGGGCTTTGCCTTCATACAGATGATTCAGAATTGGAGATCCATCATCCTGACCTGACCCATAGCCAGCCTGAGTGGAGCCTGACACAGGGAGGGAGGCTAGGAATGCTACCAGCTCGGGGTAAAGGCACCTAAGCGGGACAAGGCCATAGCCAAACAATCGCAAGTACACAAACAGTGTCCAGGATTTCCTGGAGGGCTCAGCCTAGGCTGCAGACAGACTGACATCCCATATGGAGAACTATCTCCCCATCTCAAGGGAAGAGGCGCACAGAGGAATATAGGGGCAACCAAATCATGAAACAGAAAAGACCCGACTTGCAACCTCCCACTCCTACACTCCCTCCTGGAGCCGCACAGGACTCCACCAAGATAACAACGTCCTAGAAATGAGGACAAACGGTACTATGGTTCTGGCAAAAACTCCCAAAGGGTATTTGGGAAAGCGGCTCTTTTAAAGGGACAACACTGGGGGCACTGTGGGAGTCTCCCTTCAGTCAGCTCCAGCATCCCCCGCCCTTCCCTGCCCCTTCAGTAGAGTTTCTCTCTCAGGTGAGTCCTCTGGTGTGTTATGAAGTTGGAGCTATTGCTGAAGCCTTTGCCACAGTCGGGGCATTTGTAGGGCTTCTCTCCTGTGTGAATTCGCTGGTGTATGATGAGAACCGAATTCCAGCTGAAGCCTTTCCCGCACTCAGGACACCTATACGGCTTATCTCCCAAGTGCGCTCTTTGGTGCATCACCAGAATGGAGCCCCGGCTGAAGCGCTTGCCACACATGAGGCATTTGTAGGGCTTCTCCCCGGTGTGGGTCCGCTGGTGCACCACCAGCTGCGAGCGCTGGCTGAAGCTCTTCCCGCAGGCGCCGCACTGGTAGGGCTTCTCGCCCGTGTGGATCCTCTGGTGCTTGATGAGGTTGGAGCTCCAGCTGAAGCTCTCGCCGCACGTCAGGCACTCGTAGGGCTTCTCGCCCGTGTGCACGCCCTGGTGCGCGATCAGGCTGGAGCTCTGGCTGAAGCTCTTGGCACACACCCCACACTTGTAGGGCTTCTCCACCATGTGGGTTCGCCGGTGTGTGGCCAGGTTGGAGCTGCGGCTGAAGCTCTTCCCGCACTCGCTGCACTGGTAGGGCTTCTCGCCCGTGTGTGTGCGCCGGTGGGTGATGAGCGCCGAGCTCTGGCTGAACCTCTGGCCGCAGTCGGTACATTTGTACGGTTTCTCTCCCGTGTGGATTCTCTGGTGTCTGATCAGGTTGGAGTTGTAACTGAAGCTTTCGCCACATTCCTTACACGCATAGGGTTTTTCTCCAGTGTGAATTCCCTGGTGAGTATTAAGGCTGGACCGGTTGCCAAAGCTCTTCCCACACTCGGGGCACGAGTAGGGCTTTTCACCTGTGTGCGTGCGCTGATGCGCGATGAGGTTGGGGCTCCGGCTGAAGCTCTTGCCACACTCGGCACACTGGAAAGGCTTCTCACCCGTGTGGATCCTCTGGTGGGTGATCAGGTTTGCACTCCGGCTGAAGCTCTTCCCGCAGTCCCGACATTTGTACGGTTTCTCTCCGGTGTGAGTCGTCTGGTGTCTACTAAAGTTTGAACCGTCACTAAAGCTCTTCCCACATTCATCGCACTTGTAGTATTTCTCTCCCGTGTGGGTCCGTTCGTGCGTGATGAGGTGGGATTTCCGGCTAAAAGTTTTCCCACACTGGGGACATTCATAAGGCTTCTCACCCAGGTAGGTGCCCTGAAGGCCTATTAGCTGGCCGACTTCCCTTCCTTCGGATGGCACGTCCCCGTGGTCCACACCGGCGGCATTTCCCTGGGCGCCCCCAGAGCCATAGTCCCTCTCAAAGTCACTCTCCCCATCAGATTGCTGGGCACCTTCCCCTCCGGGTATTTTCAAGAACATCTCATGGGACTCCACATCCTCAAACATGTCTTGACCTGAGTTCTCCCCATTCTCACTCTGTATCTCAAAATCTGAAATCAAGAAGAAACACACAATGTCCGGTCAATTCCCCCATTATGATGAGAAAAAGAAAGTTAACGGAGTGGGCGGCAGAGCGGCTCCACGGCGCTTGCCGCCAAGTCTGATGACCTGAGTTAGATCCCAGGAACCATACCCTGGAAGGAGAGAACCAACTCCAGCAGGTTGTCCTGGGACCTGCACACATATGCTAATACACACACACACACACACACACACACACACACACACACACACACACACACATTTTTTTAAGTGAGAATAAAGAGGTCTGGGAGATGGCTTAGTTGGTAACATGCTTGCGGACCTGACCTTGACTCCCAGAACCCACATAAAACATAGTTTGGTGGTGGGTGCTTGTAATGTCGTGCTGAGGAAGCAGAGACAGGCAGGTTCCTGGGATTTGCTGGCCAGCCAGACTAACCCATATGGCAAGCTCCAAGCCAGTGAGATCTTGTTTCAATGGATGGATGGATGGATGGATGGATGGATGGATGGATGGATGGATGGATGGATGGACAGGCGGACATGGGGCTGGTTCAGTGGTCAAGCGCACTGGCTGCTCTTCCAAAGGACCAGGGTTCAAATTCCTAGCACCTGCATGGTGGCTAACAACTGTATCTCTAGTTCCAGAGAATCTGACACCCTTTTAAGCTTCTGTGGGTGCTGCATGTGTGTGGTGCGGACAGACAGACATACAGACAAAATATATAAAATAAAAATTATTTTAAAGCCAGGCGGTGGTGGCGCATGCCTTTAATACCAGCACTTAAAGAGGCAGAGCCAGGCAGATCTCTGTGAGTTCAAGGCCAGCCTGGTCTACAGAGTGAGATGCAGGACAGGCACCAAAACTACACAGAGAAACCCTGTCTCAATAAATAAATAAATAGATAGATAGATAGATAGATAGATAGATAGATAGATAGATAGATAGATAAATACTTTTAAAACATGGGCAATGTCTAAGGACCACCACCTGAGATTGTCCTCTGCCTTCCACATATATACTTGTGCATCTGTAAACACACACACACACACACACACACACACACACACACACAGTGGCTACAAAATTCTTAACTTACAAAAGCCAGGTTTGGGGCTAGGAGTAAAGTCCAGGAGTAGGGCATGTGCTAGGTATGTGAGAGGCTTTGGGTTCAATCTCTCTCTCTCTCTCTCTCTCTCTCTCTCTCTCTCTCTCTCTCTCTTTTAAATGTGCATTGGTGTTTTGCTTACATGTATGTCTGTGTGAAGGTGTCAGAACCCCTGGAACTGGAGTTACAGACAGTTGTGAACTGCCATGTGGGTGCTGGGAACTGAACCTGGGTCCTCTGAGAGAGCAGCCAGTGCTCTCAACCACTGAGCCATCTCTCCAGCCCCTTTGGGCTTGATTTCTAACAAACAACAAAACCAACAAGGACCCAAGTTCATTTCCCTGACTGGCTGTTTAGTTGCCAGGCCTCCTATCTTCGTGGCAATCACTGAGTCTTAAAGATTTGACTCCCATGTCTCTGCTTGTTTCTGCACAAGCAAATAAGATCAGGTCGGGATTTGAAAGGCCCAGTTAATGGACAGTGACAAGGTACACAGTGACCCTAATGGTCACCAAGGTCCCTGGAGCTCAGCAGGCATTCAATGAAATCTGACTTACAGATGATTTTTTTTTATTATTACAGAAATATCTCTATAGCTTAGTCTTGTTCAAAAGGTGAAGTTGCCTGGTGGGGGTGGTAGTGTCACATACCTTGAATCATAGCACTTGAGAGGCAGAGGGAGGTGATCTCTGTGAGTTTGAGGCCAGCCTGGTCTACAGGGCAAGTTCCAGGACATCCAGGACTACACAGAGAAACCCTGTCTTGGAAAACAAAGCAAAACAAAACAAAACCCATCCTTCTGAGCCTCTGGTTTTTGTTCACTGGTACCCATGGTTGTAGCTTCTTTAAAATTTTGTTTTATTTTTATTTATATATCTGTATATGTAAATGCCTTCAGTGGCCAGTGGCATCAGATCCCCTGGAGCTGAATTTACAGGTGGTTGTGAACTATCAAACGTGGGTGCTGGAAATGGGTATCAAACTTGGGTCCTCTGGAAGAACAAGAGGAGCTCTTAACCACCTAGAAATTTCTCTAGCCCTTTTTGCATTGCCTGATGAGAAGCACAGGGCCAAAGGTTCAGCACACAAATATTACATGCATGTGGAATCAAGAGGACAAAATCTGGTGTAGTTCTTCCTTAGGCACCTTCTGAAACCCAATTTCTCACTGGCCTGGGACTTGTCCAATGAGGAGGCTAGGCTGGTTGGCCAGTGAGCCCTAGGGATCCACCCTCCTCACTGCTGAGATTATAACTATGCACCACCATTCCTGGCCTTTTTTTTTTTTTAAATAAACTTTATTATTATTTGTGTGTGTGTGTGAAGGCCTGCACATGACTGCCCATGTATAAAGGTCAGAAGACAACTTTCAGGGTTCAGTTCTCACCTTCTACCTTGTCGAGGTATGGTCTCTCACACAGCTGCACTGAATACTCCAGGCTAGCTGGCCTGTGAACCTCTGGGTGATTTTCCTGTCTTTGCTTCCCATTTTGCCACAGGAGTGCTAGGATACAGACACAGGCCACTGCACTTGGCTTTTTCACGAGGTTCCAGGATCAAATGCAAGTCATCAAGCTGCTTTTATCTGATAGCCATCTTACCCACCCATGCCAGGCCTAAAAAAAAAAAAAGTCTCACTACGCAGTCCTGGCTGGCCTGGAACTCCCTATGTAGACCAGAATGGCCTCAAACCCACAGAGATCTGCTGCCTCTGCCCCCCAAGCACACCCGGCTTCCTGTCTGGCTTTTTAACCTGGGTGCTGGGGATCAAAGCTGGGTCCCCAGGCTTGTGCAGCAGGCACTTCACAGACTGGCCTATCTCTCTGGTCCCTAGATGTTTTGATAAGCATGCATTTTGTGTCCTTCCAAGTTTCTCTTCCCATTGTTTCTTCTTTATTATAATTTCTGTGTGATCCAGTTCTATAAAGTATCTCTATTCCTTTGTAGAATTTTGTATACAGAAATAAATAATTGTATTGATAAAAATGATAACCTAATTATTGCTAAGACCCAACATTAGACCTCTTGAGAAAGCAGGGAAGACAATTAGTAAAATGGATACATAAGGTCCTAGTCACATTTCTATTATTCAGACTAATAAACAGCTTACTTAAGGTGAGGTGATCAATTCTGTGATTAAGAGCCTCTATGTGCAAATTCCCACATACAGGCATGCCTCTCTTAGGGAGCATCTGGGTGCTACCACATCTGGCTATGTTCTGCCTCAACCCAGCTGCTTGACTGAGAACAGCAATGAATTCAGTTATCAGTTTAAATGACCACCATGCATTTCACAGTGTAGGGTTAGTTCTGCTTAAGAGTTCCATATGGCTGGGCAGTGGTGGCACACGCCTTTAATCCTAGCACTCAAGCTGGCCAAGTGGTTGGTACAAAGCCCGGGGTCTGACCTCCAGCACCCCATAATCCTGATGGTGGCTCACACCTTAAAGCCAGCACTCAAGAGGGAGTCAAAGGATCAGTCCAAGGTCGTCCTTGGTCACAGACACAGTGAGGTCAAGTCCTAAGCTATGGAAGACTGTCTTTAAAGGAGGAAGGAGGGCGGCAAGATGGCTCAGTGGGTAGAGACACTTGCTGCCAAGCTTGATGACCTAATTTTGTTGCCCAGAACCCACCCACGTGGTAGATCAAATAGATAACCTGTTGGGTATTGCCACTGAACATCAGAAGATGCTAAGGATGGCGGAAGAGCTAAGCTGTGACAAGAACAAGTATGAAGGTACTAATCCTATTCCTCTCTAACACAGGATAGGCTTCTCATTCTTCAACCACCAGAGAGCTAATGTATATTTTGCTTCAGTGGGTCTGGCTGTACATTCCTACCAAGCTCCCTGGTTATATTAATGCTGTTGTCTCTTGGCCTGGGAACTAAGGTGTCTCTCAGTTGTAGAGCACATGCTTAGCATAAGGAAGTCTCTGAGGTCAATCTTCAGCACCCCTGGCATGGGCTCCAGGTCCACAGATGGTTTCAACATCTGCCAAGTTTAAGAACCAGAGACCTGGCACAGTGGTTAGAAGACTGGAGGTCAAGTCAAGGTCATCCACAGGGCTTGTAAGACCCCAAAGCGTTGGTCCTGTCAGAGGCCGTGGAGTTACAGCAGGTGACAACTAGTGTTCAGATGTCAACCCACCAAAGGAATGCTTCTCTGATGGAGGAGAATCACGCCCAGGCGTGGCCTGTGGGATCGTCGACTCGCTACTGCTCCTGTCTGTAATTTTACATGTGCAAAAGCAGCTCTGATGTCTCCCCAGTACCTGCACTGCAGTGTCTAACTTCATGTGATACGTATACGTAATCTCGTGATTGCATCTCAATCTTATGGGCACATGTATTCGTGGACTGTCAGGAAGATGACTTCTCATTAAGCCGTATGATTCTGATAAACAGAAAATATACTAGGATATGCTTCATAATTAGATCTATTGCCCCTTGAGGACTGTAAAACACTTAAAAGCCTGCTTTGTTCCTGTTATTCAGACTAACATAAGAAAATAACAATTTCTCCTCAGTCTAAGGCACACAATTAGCTCATTTTTACCTTGGAGTAAGTTCAAACTAGACTAAATATCTCTGTATATGGATCATAAGTTTAAAACTTTACAGCCATGCACAAGGTCAGAGTCGCAGGTGTCTAACCAAGGTTACTAATACAAAGCAGCCTAAAAAATCATGCCAATTCTTTGCTTGTCAAGTCTCTAGCTGATAAAAGACCTATATCTTGAAGCTTATCTCATTGGGAACTGTGCCACCCAGCTCTGATCAGTCTTACTCCTGAAACCTTGAAACTTTGTGTTGCCATGGTAAACGGCTCTGCCCTTAGCACTTACCCAAGGAATGAGCTTTTGACCAATGAGATGTAACTCTTGTAATTGCTTCAAGC